GTGTGTGTGTGTGTCTGCGAGTTAAAACGATGAGGCAGTGAATCGCAAGCTCCGTTAACTCCGGATTCTGAGCACGGTTAGTTCGCATCTCCCAAAGAGTTCTCGGTGGCAAAACATGTGCGCAAGCGCAATTTTCATGAGATTTCAAGACAAGTACTTTACTTGCACGGGGGCAGCGCGCGTTGCTGGATCGTGCTGCCTGACGGAGACTCAATCCACGTACCTGCCCTGCTGGTGAAAACGTGTTCCCCTCTTCGCCGTGTACCGGTATTCTTCGCGGAAGTGTTTAAATCAAATATAGCACACTTGCATGCAGAGGGCTTGAGCCAAGAGCCCGATTTTCCATGGACCACAACATTCGGTTACATTTTGACAGGCGTGCCATTTTGACAGGCAGTGCCTTGCGTTGTTTCTTGGGGCACAGTGGCGGTAATCTGGTTTGGGTTCTACTGCGGAGACCATAGGTCCGGGAGCCACTCATTTGGTGGCTTCGACGCAAAAAAGCCTTTCTTGTGCGTGCGTGCGTGCCAGCGCCAGTGCTTGGGTGGGTGGGTGGAACTCTGTCACCAAGAGTCTTGTCATTGTCATTTGTACAGAAATACAGGGGGATGGAGCAGGCCTGCGGAGCTCCATCCAACAAAGCTCTCCACATCCTGAGAATATCACCTGGGAGCCAGGTGACGTACCTGCAATGGCAACCAGGCTAAACCACAAACCTGGGGTCGAAGAATATACACATCTGGAGAATGGCAACCAGGCTAAGCCAGAAACCTGGAGTCGATATCATTGACGAGTTTGATACTTTTTGGAACTAGCTGCCCTGTACAGCTCTAACTCAAACCAAAGCAACTGAAGAGCCTTGCGTCCCGATTGGTTCCGGAACCCCGAAAGCTTCATGCTTTCACGAAGACGTCCAGCATGGCTGGTCAAGACACAGACGAGTGGCTGCGTGATGGATGCCTGAATGTGTGTGTGTGTGTGCGCGTGTCTGTGTGTCTGTGCTCGTGTCAATTGCATTGCCCGCGCCGCTTGATTGTTGAGCCTGCAACAATCGAGACAATGCAGAAAAAAACTTGGCCAGCCACTAGCAAATCCTTTTGAGTGGAAGTTTGTAGGGTCTGTCACATCACGGGCAGGTGCTGTAAGCCACCGGCGGATGCCGCCACTCCATCAAGAGCTGACAGGAGAATAGGGCTGGCTCCAGGTCCAAGTGCTCTGCCTCAAAACCGACACCAACGAAGCCTCTCGCAAAGAGCGCCTCCGGTGCCTTCTCCATGCTTGACGACGGACGGATCCTCGAGTTCTAGACAGGGGGGAGAGCAGACGCAAAGCGCCCTGACTCTGGCTTACTCTGGCTTTTCGGACAAGGCGCTTCATCGGAGTGAGGATCGTCAAGTTGAAACTGGCAGAATTGGAAGACGACATGCTTGCTGAACATGCGGATCGTTAAGACTGCGTATTCGGCATTCGTGGGAGCAGCGCATCTTGCTGGATGTTAATCTGAGAACCTTTCCACCCTCTTTTGCTCCGGTAGTCGAGGATCTTCGTGAATGCTTTCAGATCTGCGGCCCTCGCGTGATTCATTAGCATTGAGCAGTAACGGTTAAAGGTTTAGGCTTTTGGGTCGAAGCAGGAGGTCGAGAGCCGCACTCAACCCCGCCCTCGGCCCAATGGCACTCGCCCAGCGCGAAGCCCTTCTTGAGTGAGGGTGGGGAGGAGATTTAGGGGCTTGGAGGGTGGGTGCGACTGTCATCAATTCCTGGTATTTTTCTTTTATTTATCCCACCATCTTATGTTTCGGATCCTATGAGCCTAGGAGAATAACCAAAGCAACCAACAAATGGAACTGCAATATGCTGGAGCATGCTGGAATGGAAAACATAGGGAAAGGAGCTGCTTCAGGGACCAGGGTTTGAGGGTTCAGTGCCTGGAATTGGCTTAGGGTTTGTGACTATGGGTTCAGCGGGAGTTGTGGATAGTTGTGGCTTAAGTTTGAAGGCAGCTGCTTTTCGTGCTCGTATGGAAAGGGATAGCTCCTCCGCAGTGCGGGGACGACAAGGGATGAGGGCTGACTACTCGCGATGCCTCTGCCATTTACCGACTGGCCCAGGCATCTCGTTTTCAGCGTCCACGGTTTCCTTGATCGTTCTTTTCAACAAAGCAGGCGAAGATGTCGCATGTGCAAATGAGGATGCTTGCAGCACACATGGATGTGATCTGATCCCAACCCCTTCCCCCTTCCGCGTCCCCTCGCCCAGCCCATAGAGTAAGATAGTACAACTGAGTAGAGTGGGCTGCAAAGGAAAAGCGACTCAGTGTTCAAGCTCAGACTACAGAAGACTGCTTGCAAGACAAATGGTAAAAGATCAACAAAGCAGCTGATGAGGTCTGCTTTCCAACATGCATCCTTTTCCGGCTTCAGCCAGAATTAAAGCGTAAATGGTAGGTTCCACATGACGCTTTCGGTGTGTCTTCAGCCGAACTGTTGTACGATGGCTGGCCGTGCGTCGCGGGGCTTTGCGTTTGGGTTCTGTCCACTTTGTGTGTGTGAGCTTTCCAGCACGGTTCCTGGCGGCCAATCCTGTGTGGTGCGGAAGGATGATGGGGACGGCAATGATGTCGATGATGTCGACGACTAAGACCAGCGACTAACTCCAATGTCTGTGACGCAGCACCACGCGTGAGCTTCGTTCAGTCTCAGACCTGCTTCGTGTCTTCGGTAAATGCTCAGTCTGTGAGGAGGCCTCCTTCAAGCCCTCGCAGCTAGCATGCGTCTTGGCACGTTGCTCCGATATGCGTCCGCTCTGATTCCTGAGGGAAGTCTTCGGATGTGAAAGGGCAGCGGCCCTGTTCAAAGTTCCCCCTGGTCATTCTGAGAGCGACGTGGCAGCGCTCTCTCCGCACAAGCACCAGCCGCCAGCCTGCTCAAGTGCCTCGGTCGCTAGTGTGTGCCATGGCCTCTGGGCCTTCGCCCGTCTCAGGCCCGGGCGTGGTCAGCTGCCACCATATCAAGAGCTGCTCGCAGCATCGGGCTGGCTCCGATTCCCATGGTTGGCGGTGCACCTCAGCTTGCAGGAGCCTACGGCCTCGAAGGTGCTTTTCAAAGCTTCTTAGCTGCCGAGGCCGCAGCTCTCAAACCGTCGCCGCGCCTTCGATAAAAACTCTTTGTGACTCGCTCTGACTCCCGCATTTCGGATACAATCGGATACATGAGGGGCGAAGCTCGTCCGGAAAAAGCTGGAATCCCCTGCCGTTCGGCCAGCTTCAGCGATCTCGTAAAAGGTTCCGGGTTTGCCGAGCACAAACGAAACTCTGGATCTCGGCGACTCGTGCTTTTTCATCTGTGTCCATCGCTCCGCCTTGCGCACACTGCCATCACTCAAAGTGTGCTCAGCTGATTGTTGGTTGCACAGAAACTGTGTTCGAATGCTGTCGGCACGCAGCTCCCTGGACTTGTGCCAGCGGAGAACCATGTACCGTTGGTGGCACAGATTGAACCGGTGCTAATTAATGAACTGAACTATCTTGTAACACATGCCCGCAATGTGCAGAGATGCAAACCCGGACCCGTCCTAGAATGCTAATGCTGTGCGGAAGCTTCATGCTGTCGCTTTCCCAGCCTCAGGCACGGCCAAGTGGCTCGAAGTGCTGAGAGTGCTGGCCTGCATGAATGCAACAGCCACGTTGCACGGTTCAGCATACACAAATGCGGAGGAAATGCGGCACAAGAGCTGGCAGCACGTAAGAATCGAAAGGTGCCTGTTTGCAAACTGGCGCAGCTTCCTCGGCTCGGCCGGGATATTGCAGTGTGATGCTGTGGGGAGAGTCGCTTGGGCATGGCATGCTGTTTTGACGACCGATGACATCGTCCGACTTGGGGTCGTCGAAGCCGACCATATTGAACTGCACGGAGGATCCAAGGACACAAGGCTGTCTGCTGCACTGTTCTTTGCTGGCGCATGCCTTGATGTGGTGCTCCTGCGCCCGAGTTCTAGATGGAACGTGCGCACCGTTACCGTTACGCTCTTCATGGAACTTTGGATCTCCTCGTTACCTTCGCCGTCCAGGGGCGACAACTCGTCCTCCTCACATGTGGGCGAGGCGATGTACCACTCCCAACACTACCAAGGTCATTGACGGAACCCCTCACTTTGTCGTGCTCCATCAGTAGCAGAAATAGTTCAGAGAAGTTTTGCAGAGTTCCACGCATTGTGTCGTACTGCACACGCTCCATGGAAAAGTACTTGCTGGTCATGTTGAATGCCGCGGCATCCCGATGCGAACCTCGCTGCTGCCACTCGGTCTCTGTGCAATAAACGCCAAAGCGATTGCATGCTCAAGAGAACTTCAATATTGCAGGCCGTTTTCGTGCGGAGAAGAACATTCAAGGATAGCAATAGGACAGGATTCCGGATTGGTGTTGCAGAGGGATGCAGTTCCCATGCTGGATTAAGGTTTACCCAGGCCTTAAAGCTCTCAGCTGGACCGCACCAGCAATCCCTCTGAAAATTGCAAAGCTGGCGAGAAGCCCCTTCTCACGAGATGGCACCAAGGCGCGGATGCTGAGAGCGCACATGACCACACCACAGCAAAATCCCCCCGACATGTGCCAAGCACTGGCGAACGTGGAAAGCATGCAACTGCCGCGGAACTACAGGAACACAACCTGCGGGTGCGGATTTTTGCAAAGATTGGCGGCCCAGCCTCGTGTTCCGGCAAAGCGAAATCCTTGGAGCTTGCAGGTGACACTCGGTCTCTGTCGAAATGAGAGCGCCAGGCCATAGCTTCGATCTCGTGAAAGTTCTCAAGAGCTCGTTCCTTCTCCTTGCAAAGAGAGGTGAGACGCCGCTCCGGCTTGGCATGCGCCTGTTAAAGCTGGCTCCTTCTTCTCATGATCCCACAGCGGAGAGCCTGCAATGGACTCTCGTGCAGACGTGTTACTGATGCTCGGGCCGGAGCAATGCATGCTCCCTCTGTGATTCTTGGATTCCTGGGGTTCGATTTCAAGGTCGAGCGGAAGCGAGCCTGGTGGCGAGGGTCTGATGACTGGCGACTTGGGCGGCTCATACTTCTTCCTGGACTGCAGTCTGAGCGTCACTGAACTCTGGCATCTCTCATGTATCTCTCCGTGGAGTTTAGCCTCACGGTAGCGGCGGGCCAGGAAGATGCGAGTTCGTGACTGGCCGTGTGCAGAATGCCAGAATATGCCAGAATGCTCACAGCTAAGAACCCTCGAGTGCTGGAGTCTCGACCCACCTGTCGCCGGCAAGAGATCCCGGCTCGAACTCGGCAGTGGAAGTGCAATTGTGCAAAGATGCTGAAAGCCCACAGCTGTGTGCTTGACCATGCCCGCACGTGCAACCAAAATCTCCGACTTGATGCATGCATCCTGTCGAAAGCACTGCGAATGCCAGGAGTACACGTCAGCCCACGGCAAGGCGGAGCAAGAAAACAAGCCGAGGAGCAGCCACGGAGCAGTTTTTTGCTCACGTGCCGGCAATTTCCACTTCGTGAAACGATCTATCATCTTGACAGCGCAGCCACAGGCAATTGCCGCTCCCCAGTCACGCGTTACTGCTTTCAGTGTCTTCGACAACAGTTCGTTCCTTCCAACCTGGCGCTCCTTGCCTCCCTGCAGGCTGCTCTCGTGATTCGACAGACGCAGTTGACGAAGTCCAACACGGCCTCGTGCAGTGCAAGCTCGAGCACCGAACGAATCTGAGCAATGATCGTTGCAACATGCTGCCTTCGAGACTTTCGCCGACAGATTATCCCTTCTGCTTGTCCGTGTCGTCATCGATGATGCGAGACCCAATTACAACTCTCTGTCCTCGGGATTCATCTGGAGGCTCCTCGGTGCACGGCTGGGAGCGACGCTTGAGACCGATCTTCGACATGTTCCTTCCAAGATGCTGTGAGTGAAGGCGTGTCTCCTTGCTCGTTGAAGTTCCACCTCCTGCATGCCTCAGACTGGAATCGGAATGGAATTTGACCTGCATGCACTTGAAAGACCACGTCAAGGACCAAGCGGCAAGTGGTTGCAAGTTGGACTACTCGGCTACTCTTGGACTTCAAGGTCGACGTGCAGCATCTTAAGAACAGCAGAGACCTGCTCGGCTCTTCGAAGCGAAAGCCAAGCCTACGAGACCGGCTGTCCTTACCGGAACTCCAACCTTCACTGAGGGGGCTAAGAATTTGTGTGCCAGGCGATCGGCTGTCAGGCCTCTGCCACAGAAAACTATAGTCTGCAATTTGGTGGGGTGGTGAGAGATCTCTGTTCCTTCCGTATGCTAGAACTGAATGTGTCATGCACATCGACGCAACGAGACAAGAGTGGATCCAGAGTGCTTTTGCCGGTCAGGTCCATATTCGAAGCCTTGCGTGCAGTCCGGTGATCTTGTTTGCATGACCCCCTTCCATTCTTCCCCTACTCTCAACTCGGTCTTTGTCGAGAGGCTTTCCCTCCCTGTCCCCCATCCGCAAGGCAAGAGAAGCGTTCGCAAGACAAGCCTGCTGCCACGTGGCCGTTTTCCGCCTATGAAGAAGTGCATCAGACTGCATCGTCGGCCCCTGATGTAGACTCGTAGACCTCCTGACCCAGTCCTGCTTAGAGCCTGTGGATTCACCAACATTCCATAATCCGCCTGCTGCTTTCGATCCGATTGATATCCAACGATCTCGGTCACACCTTTCATAGTGAAACAACCAAGCACAAGCGTTCCGACGGCTCTTTCGGCTGAAAGGCAAACGAAACGATCTCCTGTTGCAACCGCAAGGAGGTGCATGCTGAGGCGCGGAAGTCAACGTCCAGCACGGTCTTGATGCCTGCTTGTGTCATACATGATCATGCCAAGAACTCATGACGTCAAGGGTAACATAGCTGCCTGACCGGCCGCTGAAATTCCAGCTGCGAGTTACCTGCATCAAGCAAGGAATACAGTTGCAGCTTATTTCCTTCTTGCAATCCAGTATCGCAAGGGTTGGACACACCAGTGCACTCAGTTTTGAAAAGTTGCCTTCCGTCGAGCTGCGAGACGTCGCTGCCGCGCTGCAGCTTCGTCCTCGGGATTTTAACGTGCTGCAGCTGAGCAAGCTGCCACGCTGTTTCTGTGCAAGTGTCCTCGATTGCCTCATTGCCATTGTGGCTCTTGTCAGCCCTGTCCTGCAAGCCTCAGTCGGTTCAGCTATCACGGTTGGAAGTGCCAGGGCACTCTCAGGCAGATGGGCACAGGGTCTGCTGTGGCGTGCAGCTGAGGGTCCTTCGCCAGCATCGCAGGGAGGCGATGCTTCCGGAACGTGCCGCCCTGTGCCTGCCGAGTGAGGGAAAGCTAGCCGATGAGACAGTTAGAGCATCGACCGCTGTCTGTGAACGTATGCCTGCAAAGTATCTGCGGTGAAAGAGCGGCTGCATTTTTGCAGTCGAAGCTCTGCATACTCAAAAACCATACCGAACCCCATTCCTAGTCTTGGAAACTCCACACCAACGACCCCGGAGGAGTCGAACAGTGTGCCCCTGCTTTACCGACTTTCAGCGATCTGGAACCCAATTTGATGTGCACGGTGGAACAGCCTGGGATCCTGCCACCGGCGGCTCGTGCCATCACTGACTGACCGAATCCCTTGACACCTAACGTAAGAATGCATAGTGCTCGATGGTGGCCGGCAAATGACATCTGGGCGGTCTTATGAAATTGCTGGCTTGGAAATGACTTTCAAACTCTTGCTGTAGACAAACGCCACAGCTAAACTAGCAACGCACACGGCTCAGCGGCACTTCAAGTCCTCTCAGACCTTTAAGAACTTGGAATGTTATCCGTCAAGCGATGCCGGTTGCCAGGCGGACCTCGGCGCAGTGCCTCTTGCACATTGCTGGTTGCCGGACGCTTGGCGCCTGTATGGAAGGCCATGACCTCGTCTGCAGAATAAACTGCTATAGACTTTCAGACTTGCCGTTGATTCACCGTAAAGTCCCCGTGCAGCGACACCGGAGCAACATAGTATCGCCCGGCCACACACAGCAACTCGGCCCTGGCATTCTCGATGCGCTCCCGAGAAAAGGCTGCCAAGCTTGCCAGGCCGAAGTTAGCCACGACCTGACGATTTATTCACTGCACGATGACGAACAAGATCTCACTACTTTGAATCATGAGGGCATTCAGCTCTATTGTGTAGATTATCAGATTACTGTCTCATTCTCTAGGATACGAAAGCCATGTAGCACAACCCTTCCTGCAGTCTTCCGCGAGTAAGCCTGTTTTGTAGTAGCTGGACGAAGCCCATTCAGCGCGCCCTTCCACACAGCCTTTCGCTCACAAACCAAAACCTCCATTTGTGTTGCACATTTGGCTCGACCGCAAAGTAGAGAGCCAAAGATGCTTATATGTCCGGTTCACCCGGTATAAGCTTCCGACGCCTGCTTGGGGGACCTTCTGCACGCCTCTGTGCTGCTCCCCAAGTCCCACAGAGTGTTCTGGATCGAAGCTCGCAGCCATGAAAAGAGTTTGTCCCAAATACGTCTTCTCTCAGAGAGATGCAAAGACAGTAATTTGACTATTACGGCCGGGCCTCGTGCCCAATTGTCATAGCAGCACATCGAAACTTCAACCTAAGCATGAACAAAAACGTCATATCGAATCTGGCAGAACAGCTCAATGTCTCGCCAATGCCACACCCATCAAAACAGCTGTGATAAATGAAGCGCTAAGCAGCATCCACTTGCGAAGGTCGCTGCGCAGCTCTCCTTGGCGCTCTGGGTGACCAGTCTCACAGTCTCGAAACACTGCCCGTCCATAGTTGCAATCTGATGATGCCAACCCGAGCCCGGTTTCGCAGTTGTCGCTGTGCGGCAATGCGTGGCTTTCAATTATCACTGCTGCTTCTGTAGCTAAACTATAGTATCACTGCCGCATGCCGTGCCAAGTTCGATCCATGTAACAACAGAACTACGGCACAACTAGAGTTGGACAGCCTGGGAATTTTCGTTTGTGGTTCCCTCAGGATGAACACGATCAGTCGCACCACGTAGTGACGACTAGACAACCCTATCTTCTGCACCTGAACGATTCAGCACTCTCTAGCAAAGGCTCGTATGTGCGTCTCGGTCAGCATGGGCAGCAGGTAACGCTCTTGCAGCATAGCATCTGCGACGCTGGCCAGTCTCATGCCGCAAGCACCATGTTGCACAAAGCACGACAAAAGCACCTTCGAATTCTGGGATCTCAGGTGCTTCGGTCGCTCGGAGGCCATCTCGCAAAAGGAGGCGTCCGACAGTCCCGGGGCCAGCGATAAACGAGTGGATCAAACACCATTCCAGCGTGGCTCGCCTAGAAGGCCGTCACGTTGTAACGCTTGCAACCCTTTTGGTGGAATCTGGCCTCGAAGGCTGTCGCTTGAGAAGCGCACTGACCAAAGACTGTGCGCTGCCGCTGGGGACTGGGATGTCGTCACTGACCCAGAAGGAGATGTTGCATGATCGAATAGCCTGACAAAGCACCGAAGGTGCAGCAACGAGGCTCTGGCCTCACCGTGCCTTGCCTGCTGCAGCTCCACGCCTGTACCCGAGAAGGGGCAGTGCCCTGTGAGCAGCTCGAACAGGATCCTTGCATGACACCGTATGAGATGTTACCAAATGATTTGCTTGAGATGGTGTTCCATTCTGAGGCAAGAGGCACACCGAGGGACCAAAGATCAGCCGCTCGGGCATCCGCTTGAGCCGCCTAGATCAAATGTAGAGTCGAGGACTCCAAAGAACTCCAGTACAAAGACGGAGCTGCAGAGAGGCCTCCCTTGCGAAGAGCTCCGGCGCCATGTATAGTGGAGTGCCAGCAACATCGGAGGCGAGGACATCATCCACCACTTTTGAATGGCCAAAATCTGCAAGCTTGACCTGTGCACGTGCGAATCCCTAAAGCGTGAGCCTCTGCCGTTTGGGGATGCATCGAGGCCTGTAGTTGCTCGGTGTCAGACAGTAGGATGTTGGCAGGCTTCAAATCGCCATGGGCAAATCCCCTGCAGATCTCGGAGCACTTGATCGAAACCTACAGATTCCTAAAGTTCTGAAGATCTGAGAGGTTTATCGAAGATGATGCCGCAGGCTTCGCAGCTTTACACAGCTAACGAAAACGACCATTCAGGCCTGGTGTGCATGTGCTGCAAGCCTTCTGCAATCTGCCGAAACACCTGTGAAGCCTTGCCGGGTGGACGTACAAAAACCAAAGATGCAGAGAGACACTCGTATGAGGCCTGTGACTCCTTGAGAGGTCCACGAGCAACCACTTGGTCCAAGCTCCCGCCACTAAGGTGTTCCAGGACAAGGCACAGTTCCTTTCAAAGTGTACGCTGCATCGCTGAATGTGAGCTCCAAATTCCAAGTGTGGACTGACTGGTCCTGCTCCGTCTCAACCACGTCCAAAATTCCTGTCCAGGCGAGGAAAGTCCCAACTCTCGAGCGATCTTGTCTGGGCGGTTATTTATACCACCAGACACCGGACACTTGACCAGTCTCCAAGCCAGCTACAGCTGCGCTTGGCAATTTTGTGTTCTTTTTTGTAGTAGCTTGACGCTGGGCAGGAAACGGTGGGTGAACGGCCTGGACTGCACTCAGATTACACAAACTCGCTCTATAACCGCTCCGTTTTGGCCACAGCATGCTTCCAAAATTCCGTCCGGCCATGGAGGTGATTTGACCGCAAAGGCCTCAAAGAGTCAGCCCTCCTTGCAAGACTCCTTGCGAGAACAACAGCGCTATAACAAATAAAACGTAAATCAGTCCAGGCCCCCGTATTTTCTTGCTCGTGGCGGCTTGCCACTACAGTAATCAAAAGACTCGAGCAATGGTGCACAGACAAAGAATGTACACGTCGCCTATTTGCCAATTATTACGGGAGCTCTTAACCGAAAGTATCGACAGGTCCATAAACAACCAATGGGTAGAAGCCGAATCCATGGAGAGACCAAAAAAAACAAAACGCCCAAGGGAGGCTCTGAATAGATTGTTATGGTAAGGTTATGCTAAGGATCTCTCGATACTTCGTGATGGTCGCAAGCCGACAGTATCCAGAGGTCCTTTAACAAAAACCACTCACCCACCCACGCACCCACCCACTTTAAGTGCCTCTCTGAGATGCCTACAAGTGTACCCTCGTCTCTTGCAGCTCCTCTCTTCAAAGAATGTTGGAGAGACTGCGAGGCGTTCTGCGCGCCTACAATCTTGGCGTGCTGGAGGGACAGGTGGATGGCCTTGGTTGCGACTGTCACATTCATTGTGAGGCGCTCCTACTGATACCTGGCAGATGCATGTCAAGACCATGTCAAGACCATGGAGCAATCTCTTGGTGGAGCCGCTCTTCAATTAGCCTGAAATTCCCTTGCCGCCGCAATCTGGACAAGCCAATCCTCGTGTCCACACGCAGACTTGCTCGACCCAAATCCGAATATCTCTAGCAGGTGTCAGTTCCCAAATCCGAATCAAGAAAGCAGTTACATGACGCACGTTGTTGATTGAGGCTTCAGCGTCTAGCTTCTGCTCAAGCAAGCGCTCGTCTTTGTGTTGCAAGTTCTGAGACTTTGCATGGCCGTGTGCGTTTTACGTGCTGCAGCTTGTGAATTGTGGGATGTGCTATAACAGCAAAACCGGGCATCGGATCCCGAGATAGGACTGCTTCATTTGTCAACTGCTGGTGGGCAGACGCGAGTCAAAGACAGGCCCTGTGAAGGAACCATAATGTCCGAGTCTATTGCTTGCTGCTGCCACTAAATCCTACAACTGAAACCAGCGCTTGGGCCCGCCAATATTTCTGCGCGTGTGGATGGTGCTTCGGCACTCTTCCTGTCCCCCTCGCCATTTCCGCAAGTATACCCCCTCCGCCTGCCTGCCTGCCTTGCCCTGCAGAGGAGGACGCAGGGTTCAGAAGATTCTTTCATTGTCGGAGTGTCGGTGGGGAGATATGCTTGCGCTCACCCTCTGGGACAGGCACAGGCTGACCCTCCGTCACCTCTCCTGCTGTCAGGCGACCGCTTCACGGCTCTCACGTTGCCGGCGTTGTCCACACACATGTAGACCCTTGACGTGGCACCGGCGCCGATGGCTTCCAACAGTCGATATCGCCTGCTGTCCTTCATCAGGGGATGCAACTCACGCACGGTGTCTGAGCACTTGCTCGTTTAAGCTTGTTCGTCGGGGCATTTCCTGACAGAGCTGGATACAAGGACCCAGCTGCGACCATTCCGCCGTGTGCCCACGACCACTGATCGGTTCTAGTGCTCTCATCAAGAGAACAAGAGATTTGATCATGTCCTATGTTGCGGGATTCTAGGGGGGCCTGCCCCGCGCAAATACTGCAAGAAACTTCGTTATTGACTTCTGCTTGCAAGCGCAGGCCACATGTGTTGCCTGGTGACTGTCACGTCGCAGTTGGGTCAAGGCACAGATAGAGGATGACAGGATGAGGACGACGAAGAACGACGCTGCATTTGCCATATGCGCTGATCTGATTTCAAAGGATGCCTTCACAGCTTTCCGGCCGACTGGTGTGCAGCGCCACGTTGTTCGCCAGGCCGCAAACAAGACCGTGTTTGCATGCCATCACTTCTCGCTATGGAGTCGGGGCTGTGTGCTGCCGTCTATTGCGTGTTGAAGCCACGGTGCTCCCAGTGTCTAGTACAACCTCGGCCTGGATGGGCACGGGCAGACCCCGTTCCGTCGAGCTGCCCCGTCCACCGTTTTGGTACGATGGGCTCGGCTTGGCCGTGCGGGCTGGTGTTGTCCCTCTCTTTCTCTGTCTCTCACGGGTGTTTAGTTTAGCAACCCGTGCTCCTCCTCAGGCCCAAAAGTAGTGAAGTGTTGACACGATGAAGGCGAAGTTGCTGCGACTGAGGCCTCAGGCCCCCCAAACAAAGACATCCCAAAGCAAAAGTGTCACTGTCACGGCAGAGTCGCGGTCGCCGTCGCCGCGGTCGCCGCCTTGGCGAGGCGGTGGCGCTCCAAGGGTCGCAGGGGAAGAACCTCCGCCAGCTCGTGCCAAAGCGGGAAGACCTGCAAAGGCGCAGAGAATGCAGTGCGAGAGAGGCTGTACGGAATCTTCATGTCAAAACGGGATGTGCTACCTTGTGCTCGGTCTCACAGGGGACATGCCGCCGCTACGGGCAGCATGTTCCCGCTAGTCTATCTCCTTCAGACATTCAAACCATTCTGCTTTATGATTCTTTCGCGCTGCTTAGAAGTTCTAGACTCTAGACCGTGCTTTGTCTCTGTGCAAGCCATTGCAAAGTCTCAGACTCGTGCTGGGGCGAGTACGAACAAGTGCAGGACAAGGGTTCGTGACACAGAACCAGAAGCCGAGCATGGGCACACTGCCCTTGCCCGGCTTGCTGCGAAGAAGGTGGCAGCAGGCCCGAACAAGAGGCACGATTAAGACAGCAGCCGGAATGTTTGGGATCTACAACACGAGCAGCCTAAATGCAATAAGCATGCATGCCCAACACACACTGTGGCACCATTCCAAGATGTGTCCACATGCACCATTGGTGCACCTTGTCGGAGGCACGTCCAGCTTCGGTTCGCTACTACACCACGTGTCACACACCGTCACGAGTTATATTGACACTAAGTTGGAGCTACACCCCCTGCTGCAGCCCACACCTGCTCCAGGTTGCTGTGGCCTTACCTTCCGAGTTTCATTCGACATGACACAAGCAACAGCTGCACCTGGGTTTGCCTCTGACACCAGTCACGGGCAAGAGCTTCACAATGTGCCAGCTTGAGTGATGCCAGCCATGCTGCGAGCCCAGGGACAGCCTCCTTTCAGGGAACACTTGCAGAGTTTACAGAAAACTTCTTGAAGATGCGGTCCTGGGTCGCCAGAACACAGTGGAGCAAAGCGGCACCAGCTTCTGCTTTCGCCTCAAATCTTCGATTCTGTCGACTGTGACGGCGTTGGCTACACGGCGTACACCTGCCTGGTCGTCCGGAGACCAATTGCCCGACATCGGACGAGCATTCCATCTGTCAGAAACCTCGCGCCTCCAGACACTCGCCTGCTCACCCAGCTTTCCCCGCCAGTAAGCCAAAACGGCTCTTGGCACTACGAGAAACATCCTCTTTTTCCATGTGCGCTAAAGACATGCCGGAGAGGCAGAGCAAACACGTGCACCTGCCTCTGCTGGTCCTCCATGGTATCCCTGTGCCATTCTCTCGCCTCATGGACATATCAGCCAGAAAACAAATGCTTTTCCTCACATTCTTTCACATGCTGCACCTTGTCCGCAGTCAGCACATGGGACAGGAAACGGGCGAGAAAACAGGTCCGGCAGAATGTGTCAGTGTTTAAACTACATTTGTTCTGACACTACTAAACTTCGAGCATATGACTTTCTCGGTGCGTGTTTTGGTTGTCACTGTTGAGCCAATGGAGAAGCCACAATCCACCCACGACGACTACATTCCAATAACTCACCCTTCAACTCCACCAGAGATCACCAACATCAATCCATTGCAAGTATTCCCGAAAGAAACCCACTCCTGCCCCTTTTTGTTTTCGACGAACTGCCTCAAAGGTGGATTCAAACGCATGGTGCTCGGTGGTGGACTCATTTGCATCTGTTCGGCCTTGCTCCTCATGGTCGATGGGGCTCGCATCAAATAGGCTGAGCTGTGTCGAACCTTTCGCTCAGGAGCGCACAAGCACACCAAATCTTTAAAAACTTGCGTACTCTTCGTGCATGCCATGTCTCCAACTGTCTTGCTCGCTCTGAGACTTTATGGGATCCCAGGAGTAGTTTCGTCTTGCAAGAGCAGTCCCGCTCTTCGGCAAATGCACCAAAACTATCCAATACCCATACGTGGGATATCCCATGACCCGCTGGGCAATTCATTGTGAGGGGCTGCTGGACTATGCGATCGTTGACGGGTGAAGCAGTGCCGGCGAACCATGAGGTAGCCTTGAGCTGCCTTGTGGTCCGGAGGTGCTGCTCGACCGTACACGGGAGCACGACACGGGGGTGGGCCTGGGAAACACTTTGGAAGGCAAGTGCGCGTTCGAGGCACGTGCAGAGCCAGCTGCGAGGTCTGCCTCCGGGCTTTCGCCGTCAAGCAATGATTCTAGCCATCATCCTGGTTTAGCGGCCACACAGGTAGACATCAAACGCTGATGACGCTTTAGGCCAGGGCCACGCTGTACCACATTTAGAGCACCGCAAGCGGCCAAAATCGACAAGCTTGGGATCCTTACCCTGCTGTTGGTTCCACCGCAACACCTGTCCACCCTTATTCAACTTGGCCAAAGCAGCTTCCAAGGATGCGACTTGCGACTGGGAGCGAGCCGCTCCCGGCTTCTGCAACCATATTTTCCTGGGGCAAGTCTTTAAATTTGCATGGTTCCCCCAAGACTTTGAGCCGCAAGTGTTTGAGCCTTGGAGTGATTTTTCCATGCGGTTGGCAGAAAGCATCGCCTGTTTTCGTCAACTTGATGATGTGACGGTTACAGGGCACAGGCATCTCACTGCGGCGCGCCAGCGGGAGGAGAAGGGGATGCGTGCGAGGCATTTCCCTCTGGTGGGTCGCGTGGAGCCACTTCAGTGCGGGGGCCTGTGCAGGCGGAGGCGGCCGAGAGCCGGCAGGGGGACACAAAAGCAGGGGCCTCAGCTTGATTCTGCTACTCAACGATATGGGCTTGCCAACCGCAGGAAGTGATTGCTGCACACAAGTGACGTCCGACTGCGAGATTCGCATGTGGACAGGCATGAGCACACGCCTTGATGCACGTGGGGATACTCCGCAAATATCCGCAAATGACGTTTGACAGCAAGCCGTGGGGCACGGTGCCGCAGGAACAACGCACAACACCACCGCAGCGACGATGGCGGTGACCACTCGGGATTCAAGAGGCATGCAATAAGCAGGAGTCTCAGAACCTTGAGTTTGGCATGCGGATCGTGCTCAGGGGGGGCTCAGTCAATGACTGATCACACAAATAGTCAGCTCATTGAGCCAGGCAATAGTGCGGACGCGATCAATCCCGGGCCCGGCTCCTGCAAAGTATTGGGAGCACTCATGTGCAAGTGTTTCCCACACCTGAAAGCGATGCTCTTCACGAACGTCATGCTGGTAAGAGTCACACTGTATAGTTGGCCGCGAAGGAAGGCTTGGAAACTGGCTTTGAAGACACAGTGACGCGAAAGCTTTTGAGCACGTGCGTGGGGTTCATCCGGAAGGATCTGAGGCCAGCTCGCGCCAGCCGGGTCGCAAGGTCACGCCGCAGTGCCGGGGTTTGGTGTGCCAGTTGTATGAGTCGACATGCCGAGAACTGGAGCACAAACACGGGTTCGAGAGCCGGTGGGGCAAGCAGATTGCAGTGTGAACACTGCCTGAGGCGACAGACAGCGAGCAGTCACGTTGAACAGGGCACGTACCATTGAGGCCCGCAAGTGCCGCATGTGATCACGCGCAACAGGCAAAACATGAGTACCCTGTGCACATGTCAACTGAGGCAAAACGGAACGAAGGATCTTAACCTATAGCGAACCAACCTGCTGGTAAACGACCTGTGTTGGAAACAGCTTCGAGCCACTTGAGGCTGCGTTGTTGCTCTAAAGGTGTCCCGGACTCCGTGCTGGTAAGCTTGACGCTCCCCCAACAAGTCGGATTGTTTGTTGGTGCGCGGACATGCCCCACACCGCACCACTAACTTTCTTATGCCCTAAGCATTCTTCAGCATGGATTTGCATGCCGCTGCGTTGCACGAAGCGTGCAGGGACTGCTGCAGCTGCTCTTCAACCTGTCGCAGTGGGCATGCTGGGCACACAGGGGCAATTAAGTCGTCTGCAAAGGATCGCGGAGTCACAGCAGGCACTGTTGCTCGCATCATGTCGTGCCACGTGGTGATCAGGCTGGTTGGAACAAGCATACCAAGATGACACCCTGAAGGATGCCATTGCTTGCCTCAAAACCAGCGCTGAAATGGCCCATCCACGCGAAAGAGTTTGCGATGCTGGCTATAGACTATAGAAAGCCTGCGTAGCCCGTAACGCATGGTTGCAAGCACCGCGCTGCCTCATGATCAGCAGAGCCAGCTGGATTGGCACCGTGTCAATGGATTTGCGCAAATCATACGACAAACCGCGGCGAGAAGACCGTCCGTCTCAGCTTGCGCCAACTGATGGCATGTATGCTATGTGAGGACATCGGCAGAAGGGCCATTTGGCAGCCATCATTACACCACGCAAGTAACCACAAGGTGGCGAGCTGTTTGTGTCTTGCGCTAGCCCACAACCTGTAGACGCATGAAGGTTTGGCAACGGGGCGATAATCGCCGGGGGCCGGATCGGCCAGCGAGAGGTCCGTGGGTATGACCACTACTGCACCGTCAGCGGCAGGTCCGGGCCAGCGCGCAACCTCTTCGACAAGGTGGAAGAAGGAACACAAATGCTGAAGATGGTCCGGGCACCATTGTGCGAGAGACCGCAGTTCAACGAGAAGAAGGCTTGGTGGTTTGTAAGACCGCGAGGAGGTCTTGTACGTGCAACTTTGGTTAGTTAACCAACTGCCGCTGGTGGTGCATCCCATACTCCCGCATCAAAGCCGCAAAGGAGGGCTCACCACGCTGATGTTGGGAGTAGATTTTCTTCAGCACGCATGTCACATCTCCAGCGCTTGGTACGCGCAGACCGCTCCTGCACCTGTTTTTGCTGCAACGTGAGGAGTCACACGACCTGTAAAGCCACATCCTGAGGGGCGGTCTGCTGCAGTAATAGGGAAATCTGAGCGCGGACGCCTGGACAATAACCCCAAGTCCCGGAAACCGGGCTGGGCAACGGGACAGAGAGCTTTCCAGATCTGGCGATTTTGCAAAGTGAGCGATTGCGACTGTGAATAACGTGCGTTGCTCCTGAAACACGACATGACCACGACGCGACGCGGCAGAAGCAACCTCATGACCTCGCTGAGCGGCCACGGATTTGAAAAGCCTCTCGGCTTCACGACTCCACGAATCATACGCCGGGTCGACATCCTCAGCCGGACAAGCGGCCTGGTAAGCTTTACCAAGTCGGGACGTGTAACACGCTGGCTGGGGTTGAGGGGATGCCAGGGGTGGTAGAGAGTGGAGCTCTGCGCAAGGTATGGCGCAGTTGCTCGGCTTTGGGGACGTGAGTGTGGGTCTTAAAGTCATCGCAGCGATCAACCTGGAAAGCAAATGCATGATCATACGCATTGCGGTTAGGGAGGATATGATCTATCTAGAACCGCCGTGCACGAGGCACTTACGCATGACAGGAGTGCCCAACAAGCGGCAATCGAACCACGCACCCGATCGGAGAAATTGCTTCTGCTGTGCATTCTCTGCCAACACATGATTGAAATCGGCTAAAATCAAGCACGGGACTTCCGCCCAGAAGGCCACATCCCGCGCAACGGCCTCCAGCATCGCTTTGAGGTTGCGATTCTTCGGTGCCTCCCATCGAGCCCCGGAGGGCCGGTACAAGACATAGGCAAGAATAGATGCGTTACAGTCGGCATGCCACAATTGCACCGCAAGTAAGCGGTTGTCTAATAAGTGACGTTGACACCAGTTGGAAGTTGGCCAGGAGACTTGCTTGGCAACCCAGCAGACGGCTTTGCGAAGCAACAGTCCAACGCCACAGCAATGACGATCATCCGCACCAGGGTTCCAAAAACAGTGATAGGTCGAAAAGGAATGAGAAAGAGTATGCGCGAGCTTGGTCTGAAGGTGCGTGCGTCTCGGTGACACCTAAAACATGGCAATCCAAGCTTTACTCTTGGTGGCTTGGTGGCCTCGGAAAGTTCACCGACATTGATGCAACCGAAATTAGGGCATGGGCACCCGGCTTCGCGGGCAGCACTGTTTTTGCTGTCAGATGCACGATGCGTAATCTTACCATGCGTGCTTCGCATGAGGCTGCCAGGCGAAACCAAGGCAAAGGGTGAAACCTAGAGCAGGGTCTGTCCGTGCGGGCACGATTGAGATCCGGCGAGTTGCCGGTGGGGCCCTGCGAGGGGCGCTTCTTGTCTGGGGTGGGATGACTGCTTGCAGTTGACATTTTCGGCATTTGCTTGCGGAGCCATTCCTGGCGAGCAATGGCCTGTGGGGGCCGGGTGGGTTGAGCATCACTCGCCGCGTCAAGCAAAGGGCACGTGGAGCTTGTGTGGTGGGGATTGCAATGGGTGTCATGGTATAGCCGA